AACTTAAATTATCTTTTAAACGTTGCAGAGTTATTCACACCAAAAGGCAAACCAAGTGCTGTTGAAAGATTAAGACCATAAAGCAAACAAAAATTCAGCTCTTTCTCATGGCCCATGGCCTGCATGTAATATGTTAGTTATTGATATGGACATGTTACGTATTTATGATATTCTTGCATGCCAGATGTCCCATCAAGGGGCGAAAGCTATAAGGGGGTGTCGGAGATTTTTGAAGTATGTGCTACTTCCACTTTCTACCATAATATATCTGAGAGCATCCCCCTTGTTGTTCAGAATTATTGTTTGTAGACTACCCTCAGTAAATTTTCAAACTCCTTATCATGTGTTCGTCAGTATTTTGTAGACATGTGCCCCCTCCCCTAACAAAATATTCTTGCGCCGCCCCTGCCATCATCTATAGGACCACGTTTCATATAAACCAGTCTACCCTCCAATTGAGTATTCATAGCATGTGGTATAGTTCATACATAAATCATCTCAATCCAAGTTTAATAAACCGATGAGGGTGAAAGATTTATACGCTATCAAATTTCACACATCCTCTAAAAAATTGACTCGGGTCAAGATATGAATATTACAGTAGAATTCAACACTACCATGAAGCCAATCTAACCACACAATTACGAGTTTGCCTCGCATACAATCTAACACTTGGTGACATATTTAATGTAAAGATCTGAATTTTTCTCTGAACATTGCTTTCAAAGCTTCTTACACAGTATTCCGTATGTAAGACACTTCTGATATTAGTGGCTAGGTTTTCAAGGCGACAGGAGATGTTCAAGGTCATCGGACATATTGAAGAAAACATAATAGTTTGAAGATATTATTTTGTCGGATATTTATTTTAGATATGCAGATGGTTGATTTTTTCAGATTGAGGATTCTAGCCAATAATTCAAATATACTTGAAATTATTTCAAAAGCACTATTAGAAAATGTAAGATGTCCATACATTATAGTGTTTAAAACAAGTACCAATTTCATATTATTATTACATCGGTATAACATGCACAGTCCTATACTTGTAATTACTATGTAATAATGTCTATTGGGCTCATCACGAATCAGTTCCTGACACTTAAGCATTCAGGATCATTCCTGTATCTATGAATATACCCCCACACCGTCCGATAAAAGTTCATATCAACACCTATCTTGCGAAAAGTCTGCATTTCAAATATCCAGTAGTCATATCACATGCCTGCTTGTAGCTGTTATTAGATGACACCTCCTTAAAACTGCTTTCAACACCCCCTTGGTGTGGTATGGTGTATATCACCATTTTAGTTTAGTCTCCAGAGTATTCTAGATTTTTAATCAAAATTTCTCTTATGTCGGACAATCAATGCTATTGAAGGTTTAGTTTATCTCTGCAATATTACCAGAACTTATATCATTTATTATGAAATTCGTTTTATATACGGTGGGAAATAAAGCAGTCCGATGCGTGCCAACGAATACGTAGTTAAAGCAAAATATTCATTTTGGGAACGTGTCCAACCGGATCTTCTGGTATCCGGATGACAAGCCGAATCACCTGGAGACCGGGTGGATCCGGAAGTCATCGTCCCGTAGTGCATCCTGGGGGAGCGGGATGCAGAGGCTCACGGGAAGAGAAAGCTACGACATGTAAAAGTCATGACCTGACATAAGAAAGGCTAAACCCTACAGACGTGCACATGTGCCTGTTAAATTCGAGAAGTAATAATTGTTCGATTTAATGTGGCACCCGCATGAGACTCAACCGTATATAGTACTAGGGTGTTTTGTTTTAGTTTTTTTTTTTTTACATCATGTGATAGGATATGAATGTATGTCTAATGAACATTTCATGTTTACAGTCATGTTAAAAAATTTAAATCTCAAAGTAGTAAATTTGTTTTTGTTGAAAAAAAAGTTATTTAACAGATGGGTTTGAAATACTAAAAGTGACACACTGACTGCATTTCGCCTACAAATTCAGTGATAAAATAAATTTTGTTTGTTTTATTGTTATAGTGTTTTATAGATCAATTTTAGAAATATCAATCAGATGTTTGTGGTCAACATGGATTTTAAAAAGAAAAAGCAGACTTATTGTTCCTTTTTTTTAAGTAAACAAATTAACTGCTTTCTCCGACTTCAAATGCGCATTGAATATTCCTTCAGCTAATACTATTCCTTAATGTATACATGTTCGTCATCATGGTAAATAGAATGAACTACGAAATTAGTTGACAGGGTGATTATGGGAAGAAGCTTACTTTGGGTGATGTTTACTTGGTTGCAACCATGGGATGGTCATGTGTGTTAATTTCAAAGTGCACGAGTTTGGACCACTGCCATATGGATTGCGCAGCGCACCTTGCCAAGAGTCTTGCAGCAGAGGTGACTATACGTCATGACAAATAGTATCTGAACTTGTCAAATTAATCCTAAAAGGTCGCAAAGGAAGCATGGATTAAAAATGGATAAAAGCTACACTTAGAATAAGATTTGTAAATTCAAACTTTAGATTACAGAGACCGATTACACCTAATGTACAAGTCTCTTGCTCGTCAAACAAGTACTCGATCAAGCGTGGTGCTGTTGTAAATAAAATAATGTATAAAATGTATTTTGAAAATGATATTGGATTAAGTATCGATAATAACTACAAATTATAAATCCTTTGTAATTCAAATGGTAATTACATGAAATAATTTAAGTTGTAAATGTTAATGAATTTTAAACATAAAACATACATTCACGCTCTCCCCACATCCCCCCCCCCCCCCACACATGCACACCCTTCCCTCATTTTCCGCACACCGTGACCCATATCTGACTAATCTAACTGTTCTAACTTGAATTTTTGATTGACATACTAATTCCCTGTTATTAATGGTAACGATTCACCATTCCACTTATACATGTATATATAATGTATAAATTGTAGAGTTGTGAAAATGTATAATGTTTTTGTAACGAAAAAAGAAGACGCGTTTCGGTTAGTATTGTAAACGATAAACACGGAATTGAATTGGGATTTGCTTTCGTCCTTCAACAAAAGATATTTTCTATATTGAATTACCTCGTTTTACCCTTTATGCGACCCCAACGTGAAGAAGATAATCTTGAAGATTATGCTAATATTAGCCATGTATCAAACGTGTATTCCGTGCCTTCTCTCTTGGGGTATCCTCTCACAAAGCCAGAGAGGTCCCAGGCAGGTTTGAAGACATCTCCACTGAAACATCAATCCACTCAATCTGATCACCGTTAAAAGCATATCGCCATCAGCAATGTATGACGTATTACTATTTACAAATAGCTGCATCTTTTATAAGGACACAAATAAGAGATTGACAAAAAAGCGAACATTCATCCCGGTCTTGTCATTTTTAGAGTTTTCGTATCCTTCTGATTTTCAATCACTCACACAAGGTTTTGAAAAATATTATTGTCTTGCCCAAGGTCTTTCACTGTCTTCATGTTTCCCTCTTCGCACGCATTCTCTCTCTCTCTCTCTCTCTCTCTCTCTCTCTCTCTCCCTCTCTCTCTCTCCCTCTCTATCTCTCCCTCTCTCTCTCTCACACCCCCTCTCTCTCTCTCTCTCTCTCTCTCACCCTCTCTCTCTCTTTCTCTCTCTTCATTGCTCGTCAGAATACCCAAAGCAATAGGAAGCACATCTACATTTTATCTTCGTCCTTCATCACTCGGTATTTGAAAATGCCAATGTGACAAACCGTTCTTAAAGAATGGCTACATCTTGCCGTCTGCTTCGTAAATTGGACTGTCAATCTCCATTTCATGCTCACCTTTTAGAATCTCCCTTTTTTTTATTGGAACATTAACCAAAGTACCCTCATTCCCCGAGTTATTTTCAAGCACACATTTTGTCAAGCCAAGCTCGGAGATTCAATGCTCAGAGAAATGACTCATTCGTCTTGTGAGAGAGGGTTCGGTGGATAAGAAACATCTAATTCTATTTCCGTTGCCATGGATTGTTATGTGTATGCTGCTGCAAAGGAAAGTCAAAGAAGGCTACAAGCCCTCTTTCGTCACAGATTTCGTCAAAAATTAGCCAGAGCTTGATGATTAATAATGGATTATGATCTCAGATTCCCTTCCTATGAACTCGTGCATGAAGTTCAAGAGTTTATCGCAGTACATTTTTCACACTAAAGCGTGATATACTAAATCATTTACGGTAGATGGAATATAGTAGAGAGGTTATTAGAGGCACAAAAGGGTAGGCCGGTGTGTATTGTTGATTTATCATGTGTTAAGACGTTGTTTCAGGTTTCCTTGTATGTGTTTAGAGCCAGAAGGGTGTTAACTCATCTACCTTACCAAGTTTACTGCCTTCTGGCTCCAAACACACGAAACATGCATTGGCTGTTGGCTATCATATTTTGTTTCATGCCACCCTCTTGTTTGCAGTCAGGATTATCTGCAGACTGCAGCTAGCTAATCGCCCCCATGCATCATCCATTATTGGTTCATGAAATATTAAAAGAATATCCCTTCGATCACTCTTACATCGTAAAATAATGTCAGACTTTGTAGGAGATATTATATTCACATTTCCTTGGAATTCGTGCTTTTTTTAATTTGCGTCAACTTCTATTTTGCTACTTATGTCTTAATTAATCTTTAGAGCACGGAGTGGAGATGGAAATAACATCATTTTCATCTAAATAATACCAACTGTGAGTCCATCTGACAGTCTGCCATGCTGTCATGTGGTACCATAAAGTAAAGAAACAAATACCTTAAAAGCCGAAACATTACTTCGAATTCTCAAATGGCTAATTAAAAACGGCCATCTTCATAATCAGTCAATTAAATCTAAATAATAAAACGTTTACTGAGAGCTACTATAAGGGCATTGACCCATATACTTTAACATTTAGTTAACGCATTTCTTGTTCTCAACAGACGAATATTATAATTATTATCTAGTATCCCCAATTAACCGGCAACAATGTTATGTATTTATTTCTTCTGTGTAGGAGTGGAGCTGAACTCAAGATGTTGAGGGCTTGCTGGTTGCTCGATCCACAATGGGTTAGTTCGAACGACACAGTTAAAAAATGCACATGCGCAGAAGAATCACCAGACTTCGATGTGAACCTTCCCGCCTTTATGGACTTCTCACCGACCGAACTGCCCACAACTGGAGGGATGACCACTGGCATGACCACAGCATCAGAAACATCATCTAGCACAGCCTCTGCAACTCAAACAACAAACGCCACCACTCTCCGAGAAACGACAAGTACAGGGTGGTCTTTAAGAACTGTGACGACGGTTACGCAACACGCGCAGGAAGCTGCTGAAAATTCGGCGTCCACATTAAAAGGTGCCACACCCCAATCGCAATCCACCTCAAAAGGTGCCACACCCCAATCGCAATCCACCTCAAAAGGTGCCACACCCCAATCGCAATCCACCTCAAAAAGTGCCACACCCCAATCGCAATCCACCTCAAAAAGTCTTCCGACATTTAGTGATACCTCCATGGTGAATAGGAACACAACTTATTTATTTCTGAGGACAGCGAAACCCACAGTTACCACAGATAGTGAGGGTTTCACGAGTCCTCAGTTGGATAAGGACCAATCCTTGAGTCTGGGTTCTGAAAGCACAGTTAGGACTACGACGGAGGGTTTACATGTTGTTCAGGGCACAGGGTTAGACTCAATAAATAATCCTAATCAAACGTCACATTTGGTGGAAAATGGAAAGGATAATTATTCCAAAGATGGGTCGAGAAATGCACCCAGTGGGGACTTTGCAGTAGGTACCACAAAGAGAGTACCCCTGAACAAGAAATCACAATCAGCGCACTATCATTCTCCCTATCCAAGCCCCCAAACCAATATATCACTTACGAATACAATCGCGACATCCAATCCGTCTAATAAATTAGAAAGTGTAACAAATACGGATTCCACTAACCTCACAGCTAATGAGGCAGTTACTCCTAAATTGCCCCAAAGGACTAATCATGTTACTATGGTAACAAAATCATCTTCAAATGTAAATTCTAGAACATCAACTACAAGTGTGAAATCCGGGAGAAGTACTTCGGGTAGGATTACATCTTTGCCTTCCTCAGTGTTGTTTTCATCTGTCTCCTCCTCCTCCTCGTCCGTCTCAAGTGGTGGTATCCATGTATCCTCAAGATCCTCTCCTGCACCGCATCCTCATTCATCTGCATCACCTGGTCTCAATTCATCTCGTGGTGTTGTTGGTGGTATATATCAATGTCTCTTCCTTTCATTGCATTTGTTGCACAATGCTTGCTGCATGAAAAAAATCCAAATACCTATGTCCATCCTTAGTGTGTTTCCTATTCCCCCTCTCCACTCATATCTGTCTTTTTCTCACCATTTCTCCTTTCTCTTCTTCTCCATCTCCCTCTCCACACTTCCTCTCCATCATCAGTATCCTCTATCCCTCTCCCCCTATCCGTGTTATCTCTTGCGATGTTTACCTAATGCAATTTTTAATGCATTTAATTTAAAAACTTTAAAGCAACTAATTTTCTTTTCTCTTTCCTACTCCATTCCTATCTACTTCTGCTCCCCCTGTCTCTCTCTTTTCCTTTCCCACCACCCTTTCATCTTTGCTCCTTCGGCTCTATCCCCCCTCTCCCTCTTTCCTACCCTCTTCCCGCCTCCTCTCTGCTCTTGTACCCCTAATGCATTGTGGCAAGCCTTTTAGTTGCACGCTTACATCCATTAATTTCCCTCTTTTCAGGTTCACAATACAACATTTCGTATGCAAGCATGTAATATTTTCTGTTGCAGTAAATATTCATTTTCATAAGTGTTGCACATTTACTTTTTTGATATCTAATGAAGAAAAGAAAAAAATCACTGCAGGTTGTTCAGATAGAAGTAACAAAAGGGAGATAGGTAATTTAGTTTTATCATGTAATTTATTCCACCTTCATGACCTAAAAGTGTTATGCCCATTTCGTTCCTGATGTCTTCTTTTTCCTCTTATCATCCTTTTCTCATAATTTATTGATGGAAAATAAATATTAAATCGCTTCGAATCACTTCGGACGGTAAAATGCTTTGTAAACCTTAAGACGAAAATTTGCTAAATGCCATTCGCGTCACAGTAAACAACATCTTTTGGAATTCTGGCTTTATACTAAGCCGCTGCCAAATGCTTTATGAATTCTTAATATTGGCTCTTAGGAATCCATTCATCATGTACTTGCGTACCGGCGCCAGAAGATTCGCGCATAAGATTGGGATTTAATTATAGTAATAATCCAGTGAGCGAGATATAATCAAGCAAAATAACCAAATGAACCTGATTTCTAGTGACTTTATCTGTTTTCTCCTAACCCTACGCCTACCCTGCATTTTCATTTGTAAAAACAACCTCGTGTAAATTAACGTTATATTGCAACGTCAGATTGCATTTTCCCTCTCAATCGTAAGCCTCCAAACCAAGGATTTCTTTCCCCGCTTTCCCGCCCCGACTCTATACAGAGTTCACATCGTGTAACTCGACCAGACGAAACTAGCTTCTCCCCCTTCTTATATTAGGAATCCAATTTAGAATTCATCAGGGTGGGTTTTGTTATTAATGATACCAACCATGATTGTAATGAAATATTCATAAACAAATTTTATTTCGTAATTGTATTCATAAATGTTCACCAACTATCCCACATTCATTGTTTTTTCAAGAAAGAATATTTTTACCCCGTAATCGGGACAAAACAAACAGAAGTATGCGATTCTCTTGCACGTACTATTAATGCATTGCGAGTACGTATTGAATCCATTTTATCATTAATTTGAATTCAGGAAAAGACTCTTGATTGGCGACCAAGTAAAGGGCTTAAAATGTGAGTGTATTTGCTAATAAAAGATGATTACCTTAATATGATCATAATCCATGCTACAACGTAATAGGATTTCTCTTTTATGATGGACCAATTAGTTCGAAACAAATTGATCGAAATTAATTTGAGTCAACACACTTACCGAGAGATTTCATAACATCCATGCTATCAGCGTTCCAATGTGTGCAGTAGCATAATAACAATCCCTGCATTACTCTTAAACGCACACACACAGACACACGACACACATAATACACACAAACACACACACACTTTCAAAGGGGTGTGGTCATCACATTTTGAGGTGCTTTTTAACAAAATACTCTGACCAGCAAATAGGTATTCCCCAATTCTAAGAGGATGAAATTCCTGCCGAGGCTAAGTAAAGGGGGCACATTCTTCATTTTTATTTAATACTTAAGATATGCTAGATTCGATTTTGCTGGGGGAGGGACGCCCACCTCCCCCCCCCCCCCCCCCTATCCACTGCTGATCTTGACATAAACCTATATTTCCGATATGAGTAATGATGTTCAATTAGACATGGGGGCGGTCACATCGCTTCTGTGAGTATTCCATTTCAAAAGATATGCAGCGTTAGCGCCTTAATTTTTATCATTCTTTCTTTTATTTCATTGTTTTACAGTTCATGTCAAGAGGGTTGAACATATACATGTTTATCATAGTGTCACTGTTAGATTTCTTCACTTTCAATTACACTATACCTTAACTTAAGTTAATATTCATGTTTTCATTCGTAATGTTTGCTTAAAAACCCCTTATATTCAAGGTTGGGTTCTAGGTTTAAGCTATACCTTAAACATAATTGCTAAAGCGGGCAAGTACGAGGTATTCTTTCGCATATCGAACAATAGTTAGTTTACAAGAATACATTGTATGATGAATAGAAACTGCATAGATTTCGAATATAGTCCATAACTAATGGAGATTAATGCCACCACCTACGCAACAAATTTTCATCTTCTCCCCCTCCAAGATTTATAAGGATCAACTGAACGTAGCGCAACCCTTTTCGGGCTGGAAATTAATATTGTTTGAAAGCAAAAGTTGTCAAAATATTGACATTTATGGGATCCATCTTCGACGCTCTAGGGATCTGTTGCCACTGGTTGCAGGAGGAGGAGGAGGAGAAGGAGAGAGAGAGAGAGAGAGAGAGAGAGAGAGAGAGAGAGAGAGAGAGAGTGAGTGAGTGAGAGAGACGAATCAATTTGGTTGCTAAGAGCAACATGCAGTCTCGCTCGATTATTGCTTACGCGAGTTGCAAAGTGTAGCTCATCCCTTAATTGTTTTGCCTACTTGGGACGAAAGATGGTATAATTAGCTTCGGCAAATGGGGAAAGCAGCCCTGTGATAGGAGTAGCATCTGGAAAGTTGTATTGGGGAAGAATTTTGTTAAATTAATTCATTTTTGTGATTAATTCTGGCTGTTATATTGAACTCTGTGTATCTCGTTAGTGGATTTCCAGAACTTTAACAAAATATGTAGCTTTATGTCTTTTCATTCTAAACTGTCTACGTTTATAATTGCTTAATATTCCTTTGGCTGTATACCTCATCTGAACATGATGATCCTCGATAAATTAAATTTTCAATTCTTTTTAAACAGAACCCGGTCGAGTTAAGTCAATGTCAGGTGTTTAATCTGCTATTTAGTGTGTCTCGACTGGAAACATAACACACGTGGTAAACAAGTAATAGAAATATTTCCAAACTCTATTGTGTTTTAAAGAAAAGTGGTGACATAAGATATAAAAACAGGTCGCTTTTCAAAAATGTATTCATCAAAAACGTACAAATAAATACGTACAAGATCATGCTTAATAAAGAACGACGAATACAATATTTGTTTTACCCATCGGGGAAATAATCACAATCGATTAGAAATAATTGATTTTATGAGAAATTATGCATGAAAATTGCTTACTAAATAAAGGGGAACCTTGATGCATATAGGGCTGAGTTGATAATGACTTCTGCCTGAGCCCATAATGGTCGAGCTTCCGTGGCGTATCCAGACCTTGACCTCGGGAGGGGCTACAAAATAAAAGAGAGTCGCACAGAACAGTCTTTCCATTGCAATATATTGATCACCTATAAAATATGGCTGCATTTATGATTTCATGGTCGGTAAACTGTCGGGAGAGGGAAAATGCCCCTTTTGCCCACCCTTCACATACGCTAGTTGTCGAGCATTGTAATATAATGTCAAGGGCATGAGCCCCCTAATTCGATTCGATATAATTCGATTTAATGGCGAAAATGGATACGAAGAAGGCCATTATTCAACCATCTTACACGAGCTAGTAGGTGACAGTGCATACAAACGAAACGTTCAACATTACTAACCCTGTACTGAGAGTTAGCCGCCATTTTCCTGTTTTTAAAGGTGATGATAGATATTGCGACTAGCGCATCTGAAGAAGGAGGTATAGGGGTAATTTGCCCCTCCAGACTTTCGACAACCAGAA